AGTATGATACATTTTGCCTTGAATGATTTATAGCCGAAAAGTATCACATCTCATGCTATTTTTAAGGTTAGCTTAAGGGCTACATTTTCGTGTCGCTGTGGATTTTCTCTAACCTTCTCTAGTCGTTTGGACCAATATGCCTCCTTTCGCGGGTATTCCGAGAAAGGACTTTGCCTAATGAAACACCTAGCGGTTCTTGAAAAATGCCTACGAAGAAGAATTTCTGCCCTAGGCGGCTGAAGCTAACGGTAGAATGATCATGATGACGACATCCTTTTTTGACAGACGCTTCAATATTGAAGCCTGTGTTAGGCGCAGTAATGAAGGTGGACCTTAAGTGGCCAATGCACGATAATTGCAAACAGTGAAGGTTGGAAGAAATTCCAAGGTCTTTTAAGTAAAAGGATATTGAAATTAACCCGGATATGCTAATAGAGGTTGTTAAAATAACATCGAAGTAGAAGGGAAACGTAAACTCAATGCCGGTGGTGGGTTAATGGCCTACATGTCCTCGAGAAGAGTTTTTCCTACGTAAGGAATCTGCCACATAAAGTGCGCTTGCAGCAGAAAGTCGTAAGGTCTTAAGCGATGCCTAGCAAACGAAACTCTATGGCTCAGTTTTTAAAGAAGACGTTTAAGTCAACTAACTTTAATGAAAAATTATTGCATAGTTGTCACTCCTGTCCTTCAGTTGCTTTCGCCTCACTTGGCCGACGCTGGAATTGTTACTTAAAGGGCCGGGAGTGGCGCACTACACAGAGCAAATTCTATGCATAGGAATGGTATTTGCTTTAAATATTTATGACATCTTGGCCAGTTATTACATGAGAGAATATGTAAGGTAGTCACGCTCAGACTATCACACGTTTGTTGCATGAAAGTTGGATAAAGTTTATTACTTCGTGGAGTAGCAACTCTAAATTTACCATCCATTAGCCATTAAAGGAAATGGTGTTTGTTAGACCATCCATCCTCCGACTGGTATCATTTTAAACGGCTTCATAAGCTCGGGTGAATCGTTCACAGTCTACTACAATCAGGTAGAATAAATGAAAGGAAAGCAACAAAAAAGAACAACTAGTCCGAAATCATGCATCTAACATTCCACGACCTCATATAGCATTAATTACTGCATTTAATTTTCTTAGTTACGTTTTCTATAAAATATAAAGGAAATGTATGATTGAAATCAAGAGTACTGAAGGCTGTCGGATGGAGTAGTTGGCCCAAGAAATAACTTCGTCAACAATTCACTGCGAAAATCGGGGCAGATTTTACTTGGCAGAAAGTCTTGCCGACTCAACCTAACGCATGTTTTATGCAGAAGATACACACTCAGTCGAATGGCGATTGAAGCAAAGTTTTGTCTCGTGCCGGTAACTTTCTGAACTTTCTTTCCACAGGCACGTAAATTACAGATGTTACTCATCATCCGGCCTCCGTATAAGCCTTAAGTCTGTAACTTGGAACGAATTAATCAAGGAAATTCCAGTCCACTATGAATAAAAAACAGGAACCCAGGCACCGCACGACCCTTCATTATCCCTTGAAGACCTAAAATGTCCAAATATCACATGAAATTTGGTGTAGCATAGGATACGATCTAGTGAGGGAGACAGACCGTGTCCAATAAGGCGAGGAAAAAGGGCCCACCATGGGCCAGTGACTCAGCCACTGACAAAATCCATTAACTTTACCACGTCAGACAGGAATTTACCTGCTGTCAGACAACTGCATGACTTGGGTATGTAGACGGTGCACCGCTAATCACTCACCAAGTACGGAGGAGCGAGGACATTTGGGTCAATAGATGGGAGATTTTTTGCCTTATTGGAAGCATTTCAACGCTTTTCAACATCTCCTGGAGTGGGTGCAAGAGGTTATCGTTAGTGATGCTTAGATGGAATTCTAGTGACTAAAACTTGATTTAGCAGCAACAAAAACTCGAGTTACGGATCAAATGGGGTTGAATAGATCTAAGCATACGCTGCAAACCTCGACTAGTGACTGGCGTATAAAGCAGAAATCTTTGAGATGGACAGGCGAAAATTTTAATGCCAGTGTAAACCGTTGATTGTTTGTTTAAGTCGTGGTTTTGGTAATGGGGTGCTTGGGAGCTCCACCGTACCACACCAGGAGTCCCCCCCGGCCTTCTGTGCGTCAGCAATTTATGTTCTACCCGAGTATTATGCCCTCTTTCGACTTCAGGGAAGTCTCGGGGAAATGAGATGAAATTCAACTAACTCTGATTTTTGACTATCTAGTCTTTCACCATATACCGCAATTAATTACGCCGTACTTCGTATGACCACTCAAAGATGTCCACTCGATGTGGGTTAAATTTACCGCCTTGGCTAAGCGTGCTAGGAAATTATGTCTGCTAAGCATTACAAAAGGCAATAATTTTACTAAACGCATGCATGATTAAAATAAAATAAAGTTTAAAACAGGTCGTTGTTTATTCTTAAATAATACAGAT